TTGTCTGAAAAATTACGAGATGGAAAACCTCCTTGAAAAACTACGATGTTACTCCCAGATTAAGGATTTACTTAGGCTGACGCAAATTCATGATCTCTGAGTCAAATTAAACTACTCCTGTTGGTCCAAATACCTGTAAGAGAAAAGTTTTTCACGGGGATTTGAGGACGATGGAAGAAAGCGAAATTCTGGGGATCATGAAGGACCAAGACTTTTTGACTTTGACACGTTTATTGAGACAAAAGTAAAATTACATTTCAAAAGGATGAGGTAACTTAGGTTATCATCACCCTTACTTAATAAGTCCCTGTGCGGGCTCACAATTCATATACAAAACTTAGGTATAATAATATTTAAAAATAAATACACTTAAATTATAAAGAATTACAAGAATTCAGAATCATTGGCTTACATATCGGTAAGGTGATATAACACTCCCACCCTCATCCAGATAAGTCCCCTCCTGGGCTTACATAATCAAATACAGCGCACAAAAAATTGCGCGTGCAATATATAATTGTAATCCCGGAGAAGAGATGAATTGTCAAGGGGAATGATTGTGTTTCAATAGAATGATGCCAAACATACACCAGTCATTAACAGCAAAGTAGGAGACATTATAGTCTCAGCAGGAGTAACAGCTTACATACGTGTGCATATTTGCGAGGTATGTATATGATATTGGTGCAAATTGCCTTTACCTCTTCAAAATCTCGAATGCCTGACCGTTCCTAATCATCCATACAACCTGTTCAGGTAAACCTGTTATCTCCGCATTTGTATGTGTCTGAAGCATAGACACTATAATATATAATGCATCAATGTATGTGATCTAGGTAAACTACACACCCTGCATTTTTTTCTTCTTCGCTTGTTGGAACTCCCAATAGTATTTATATCCAAGCCTGATCCTCATGTACACACTGTCTTTCCATTTGCTCTTGCCCTTACCATAAGCAAAGTCTGTGTTCGTCGCTAGATGCATATAGTGTCTGAGGATCACTTTTCCTAATCGCTTAGCCCTTCCTGGTCTCGTCATAGTCAAACTGTATCTTCTTGATATTGCTCTTTGCCTGTTTAAGAGTCCGCATGCACTGAATGTCTACCTCATGCTTCCTGGTCGCCCCCTTGACGATCTCATCAACAGCTTCATTGAAGGTGACACTTACATGCGAAGGGATCCACACAAATGTAATCACACGCCCCTGCCCTCGCAACCTATGATCTATCAAACGACACTCGCCAACTATGTGGCCAAACACGTGGTTCTTGCTGTTAAGTGAGTCCAGTGTTCCCCAGCTGTCCACAAAGAAGTAAGAATCCTTATTAATGATTTCAATCTGTTTAAGTGCCGTCAGTATTGCCCATAGTTCAGCTTGTGTTGTGTGTGATTACTCAGTCTCATCCCAGTGCTTGTGGTGACCACTCCACTCCCAGACTATATGGTCTAGAAGGACGGAAATGTGCAGACGAAAACTGGACTGTGTTTTTAACTTTAAATAAACTCCCTGAATATGACAACGTTGGATAAAGCCAGGCTTTTCCAAACTCATGGCACTTCGCCCACATCATTCCCGAATTGAAAGGGGGAAATCCCAAACCTACCAGCTCCTCTCGCCCAATTGCGTTGGCAAGTTGCTTATGCAAGGACATAGAACGAATTTTCGAGAGTAGGCTATTTCCTTTTTAAGATTCCAGAAATTTACTAGTCGAGCAGTGCAGGGACGCTAAACTATTGATCAACTAGTAAACCTGGACACTTATATTCAAGGGGCAAATGCCAAAAAGTATCTTTTTTTATTTCAATATTTTTAGACAGAGAAAAAGACCACAGCATGACATGCTGTTATGGCCTACTCAAAAAACTTTGTTTCTAGAATACGTGGAAAATTACATGTTTCACCCACAACCTCATTTCTGACATAACTTTTGCTGTCAAAATTGTTTTCTGACAATGTCACTTTCTCGGGCATTTTTGTCTAGGCAAACGGAGTTTCGCAAGGGAGTCTTGTCACCAACATCATTTCTGTGTATGATCAATGACATCTTACCAGCTCCCCCTCGGAATCTTAAATACGCACTGTATACTGATGATTGTGCATTTAGGCATTCCGGCAATAATGCAGATTTCTCGGCAAATCACACCCAATTGGCACTGGATATAATTCCTAACTAGGGCTTCCAGTGGGGTTTCAAGTTTTCCACAAGAAAGATTACTTTGGGTATTTTTTCACACAGGAAGATGCCGAACACCAGGCTAACTCTAGACAATCACCCTGTTCTTATTCAAAATTTAGCTAGATTTCTTCGTTTATTTTTTTGGAAGCCCTTTGGTCGAAGCGATGATCGCGTGGTGCGGGGTCCTCTCCTCCTGCTTCAGCTCGGGGGTCAGTACCCAGCCTACCAAAGGGGAGAAGGCTAGATCAGTTGCAACTCAAGGTGTCATGGCGTCTGATTCTATTTTTGGAAGAAAAAAAAAAACACATGGGGTTTATTTCGATGACGTCACAAAAGTCACGGATGCTTTGTGAATATGGTCGATCATTTTGGTCTTTTCAGTTTTCAAAAAAGATAGTAAATAATGATTTTAATGGTTAAATTTTCACCACCTCCTCGAGTTGCTACTGATCTAGCCTTTCCCGTACCAAAGGAGGGAACCACCAAATCGATCGTCTTTCCCCCCGAATGACTGCTTGTTGGCGGCCTATAACTTGCACCTCGACATTAACAACCTCAGTAGGGTCCTTCTCCTGACCATTGGAGCATTGAGGACAAAGGCTATGGAAATGCAGATAAAAGGGAGGGAGAGAATAAGGAAGGGTAGTCTATGCGTTTTAGTTGGTAACTCTCAACCAAGGGTTGTACTGGAACACTGTCGAATAGTTCCCTTATGAACCTGAATTGCTGTGCGTTATTTTGTCTTAAGGATGTTATGTATGAGGAACATGCTCTGAAAAATAGCCTGCAGAAGGAATAGGCTAAGGCTATCATTTGCAGCTGAAGCAAAATTAGGAGGAAAATTACTTTCCTTCCCCTCAATTCTCTCTTACTATAAGGGGTGTAAATGTGCGTGTGTGCTCTGCAAGGTCAAAAAGGCACCATCAATGTTCATGCAATACATACAGGCAAACACTCGCAGTTCAAGCCGATCCTCGACCATATTGATAAAGTATCTCAGTACTTAAATACTGCACATAACATACTATAAAAATTTGTATATTTGTATTGTGGCAATCATGCCCATTGTGTTACAGATATACTTCAAAACCTCTGTAATCCTTAACAATACGCTGTTCACATAGCACACTATCTATCACACACACACACACACACACACACACACACACACACACACACACACACACACACACACACACACACACACACACACACACACACACACACACACTACAATATATATATATAATATATATAAATATATATATATATATATATATATATATATATATATATTTATATATATGTATATATATCTTACATGTTTGTCACATACGTATCTTCACATATATACATATGTATATGCCTGAGCATTGCTTCCCCTGTTATTCCTCTTCTTGCCACACCAGCATTCCAATGTTGTGTTGTCTATCTCTTCCACAAGAGCTATGTATTGTTGTAACGCTTGCTTGTTCATCACCGGTCGTCACATGCTAACAACGTGACTTGGTGCGATCTTTAGACATTGTATAGGAATCAGGCAGACTCCCTGCGGGGGCCAAGGAGCAACACCTCGCCGAGGAGCTGCCGCACTCCAACATCTTATTCAGTAAAGAGTTAAGACATCTTGGTTATCTACCTTAACCTAAGCTCGCTATCTACCAACTCTGGTAGGACCCACATTCCGGCTCTTATAATATGCATATATGTATATATATATAATATGTACATGTATATAAATGTGTATATATTATTATATATATATATATATATATATATATATATAATATATATATATATATATATATATATATATAATATATATGTGTGTGTGTGTGTGTGTGTGTGTGTGTGTGTGTGTGTGTGTGTGCGCGTATGTATGTATGTATGTATATTATATATATATATTATATATATATATATATATATATATACATACACATACATATATATACACATATACACACATACATATATATATATATATATATATATATATATATATATATATATATATATATATATATATATACATACATACATATATATAATTGGTATATATACATTCACTTATCCGTGCTATTCTACCTGTAACTAGAAATGGCCGTTCCTTTCATATTTTTTTCATTTTAATATGCGGTCAAATATTTCACGCAATTTAACAAAAGGAAATGAAGACAAAGAAAAGTGAACACATAATAGAATTGTAGGCCTACATCACCTCAATCCGCTGCTTGGACATATTTCATAAAAGTAAAGCAATTCGCCACACTAGCAGATGTCCAGACCGTAAAACTATATGGAACATTCTAGAAATTTCCATTACATTTAGCAAATTCCCATTCCCTTAAAAGTGCCATTTCGTTCTCTTCGCCAATGAGAGGTTTTCGGACCGCTCTGAGATGTCTGAATTCGTTCCCTTTATATATTTTGCTTAATATTCGAACCCTTTTCCTATAATTTCTCATAAGTCTCCTCTCACCCGGATTTTCCTTTTAATCAGATCCGATCATCTATGACTAATGATTTAAAGATCTGAACCACGAATTCATAAAGGATATTTACGATAATGAAATAAAGCTTTAAAAATAGAGAAAAAATCAGATCTCAATGGGTCTTTAAACCTGATTTTTTCCCTTTTTTTAACAAGTCTATCTTAATTATAACTGGATATTCCTTGAAAAGGTTAGCATCAAAATGCCTTTATTCAGCATACTAAAAATTGACTTTCAATTTCTTATATGCAACACTAAAATGGTGTGTCGAAAATGGACAGTCTATTGTATAAAATATCCATAGCTGATATGTCATCCAACAGCAAAATCAAAAGAGGAACACTACACCACGATTAGGAATTTATTAGGTTCATTTATTAATTATCAAATGGTGCAAATAAACGTTAATTAACCCCTCTGTATTTTGGGATAAATATGAGAACGAAAACCGTGCCCAGGCATTGTGTATTACGCTGTGGTCGGCAAAGGTTCTACGTTCTCTGTTCCGTTATTTAGCATTTTCAGTGGAATAAGGTATGATGAGGGTTGAAATTTGGGTATTTTAATTGTTTTAGGACGATTTTTATATATATATATATATATATATATATATGTTTGTATATATATTCAGATAGAAAAAGTAAGAAATAAGTATCTGTCTTCATCGTTTTTTTTCATATTTCTTTATTACAATTTTCTTTCCAATGCGTTTTATTTTCAATATACTCATGTACCGAATGCAAAGATAGCCTTCTTGGTGATTTGTATATATAAACGAATTATATACCAGTTGGGTGAGAGAATGTTAGGAAATGAAAACTATTAATTCATCGTTTGCAAATTACAGGCCTACGTAAACTATACAATATACGTAAACGATAGACTGAAAGACAAGGTAAAAATCAGGGAACAATTATTATCAACAAAGAAGCGTAGTTTAACCTCCATACTTTGACAAACGATGTCATTACATTGGAATGGGTTAACCAGCGCTATTTTATCATCATCATTGCCATAATCATCGCTGTTCGTTTCATTGTCACTAAATTGTTGATATTATCAATTCTATTCTTTATTTACTTTTTTAAGCAACAGGCTTATCTCATTCCCGTCGTTTTTTTCAGCTATCTCCAAGCAAAAAGACCGAAGACATATTACGCCCCAATGGAAGACAGGGGCCATGCTGCCCTCGCGGAAGAATCCTTGAAAAGGTGAGGTTATTCGGATTATTATTATTTTTTCACTGATACAATAACTTTTTCTCTTATTCTCCTGTAATATCCCTGTTTCCTTCTCTTTCTCTCGCTCTCCATCTCTTACTCTGCCCAAGGCTTATAGCTTGACTCTATTCCTGTTTGTCTATATGTCATTCTTCACCGATTCTCTAATTTCTTTTCTTCTATATTATCCTTGTCTCCTTTCATGCGCGTAGGAAGTTATTCTGAAGTGGGTGAGAGGGCAAAGTAGGTTCCTTTAAAATAGCTGCGGGTCCAGGGGGCTGCAGGTCCCAGGCGAGGTGCAGGGTAAAGCCCGCGGAAGCTCCTGGATTTTAAGTTTTAAAGAGATAAACCCATTAAATTCTGCACTAGAATGTCAGACATTTTTATTTAGATATTACTTGGCATAATGGTTATATCATTTTGAACGCCAGACTCAGTTGTAGCTGCCCTCTCAGTTGCAGGTCAGTGTTCTTAGAAACTACGAAAGGAGTTGCATTGCTTGTTTACAGGGAATGTCCTTGAAAGTTAAGGAGTGGGAGGGCAGAAGTTGGGTACCGCCCCCTCTATCCTAAAGTTGTGGAGGCGGTCCCCCTGTCCCCCCTTTTCCAAGGCCTATCCCCTCTCTTTCACTCTCCATCTGTACTATGTCCAAGGTCTATATATTGACTCTATCCCTGTTTGGATAACTGTCTGCGTCATTCTATAGTGAAAAAAGAAGAATGTTTAAGCGAAATTCAATTTGGATATTTTCTCACAAATAAAAGCAGCCAAAGGGTAAAAATACTAACCTACACTTTCCCCGCCCACAGGAGAGTGCACACCATCTTGTACACGCAGTTCCTAATCATCTTTAAAATGGTGGCCGTGTTCGTGTGGGTGCCCTCATTCAGCGACCACGCCCACAACAACCTATGGATGTTCTGGGTCTGCTTAGGCCTGATGTACGCCCTTATGAACGCCCTTATCTCCTGTGACAACCTTAGGACGAAGTACATCGTGGCGATTGTGCTCGCCATCTGCGAGGCGTACATGCTCGGGATCTTGAGCACGCTCCACCAGGAGAAGGAGCTCGTCATCGCCACTGCGGCCACGGCGATGCTGACGCTGGTGTTCACGGCCTCCGCTTTCCGTGTGAGGAGCTGGTGGTGGAGGGAAGGAAGAAGGGAATCACGGAGAGGAAAGGAGGGAAGGAAGGGAGGGATGTAGGTGGGTGGAAACAAAGGAGGGATTGCGAGAATCACTCTTTTCGCTTATTAGGTGAGAAATTGGTGGTGGAGGGCGATGGAGGGAAGGGAGAGACAGAAGAAAGGAAGGAAGAGAGAAGGGTGAAATGGGAGGGAAGAAGAAAGGTGGAAGGGAAGGAAAAGGGTAATGAAGGGCAAGGAGAAGGAGGAGAGGATGGGTGGGAAGAAAAGGAAGGAAATAGAGTGGGAAGGAGAATAAAAAGGAGAAAGGTGGCGGAAGGTAGGAAATCGCGGATGATGGAAGAGAAGTGAAAAGAAGGGGAAAGCGGAAGAGGTGGAAAAGGAGGGCGTAGATGAAAGCGGAAGAGGTGGAAAAGGAGGGCGTAGATGAAAGCGGAAGAGGTGGAAAAGGAGGGCGTAGATGAAAGCGGAATAGGAAGGCGTAGGTGAAAGAGAGAAGAGGAAATGGGGGAGATATCATTTGACTTGAAAACACGTAGGATAATGGTTTACATCGAAAAAGCGTGACACCATACTGTATGTTGGTTATGTTTGTTCTCTTCTTGAATATCATTGAGTAACACCTCATTCCTGGTGAAAACAGACGAAATTTTACATTTTCACTCGGTAGGAAAAATGCCTTTTACACTGATTTTCTCAAAGCCTATCAATTTGGTAGGTGGTGACTGCTTTAATTTCATTATATAATGCTAATGTTATTTTACATGATTTACTTGTACATTCTTACTAGACAATAAAGGCAATATAGTGTGTATTCATAGATTACTTCACATTAGTACTTTACTCATTCACGTATTACATGATTAATGCTTCCTTTCTTTTCTTAAAAACTGCTCAGTTATATTTCTCTCTCGCTGTCTATCTCCCCCCCCCCCTCCCTTCGCTCTCCTCTTCCTCTCCCTGACCCTATTTATCTGTCTCCTAACAGAACGAACTTAACATCACACAGATGAGATCCATCGTCCTCGCCCTGATATTGACCATTTTGATAATGTTTTGGACCAACGCGATGATCAACTTGATGTATGCTAGCCTCGGGGCCCTCCAAAGCTCCTAACAGGTGATCGATACCCAGCTGATCAAACGAGGGAACCACTACGCCGCCTATTACGACTCCTATTACGACTACGCGGCCCTCCACTTGCACCTCGACCTCCTCGACCTCTTTATGTACATTCTCGCGATCGTTGGAGGGTCCCTTAAGGATCTGAAGGAAGGTAGATAAAGGGAAAGGAAAGGGAGGTGGGTAGAATGAGGAAGGGGTCTTTGTGTTTTGGTTAGTGACTCTCTAACAAGGGTTGGTTTGGAACATCGTCGAAAGGTCCTGTTATGACCCTAAGTAGCTATGCTTTATTTTGTTTTAAGGATGTTATTTATGAGGGATGTGCTTTGAAAAATAGCCTGAAAAACAGGAATAGGCTAAAGTGAAAGTCAACAAATTTGTCTTGAGACAGAGAGTATATTTTGAAGGAAGGAATTTGTGGGAAGGGAGTGGACAAGGTTTTGGATTATATGTTGCAACTGCGATTGTTTTCGGTGTTGTGATTCTGTAGGCAATAAGGAAAATAGATACATAGATGTAAGTAATGAACCCATGCATAATTTTCTGTTTGACTAAATAATAATGTATGTACACAATGCATCATTAACCGCTTTTTGTTTTATCGCTGATGATGTGCTCGCCAATAAAACCATAGCGATCTCTCTTGATTTTACCTCCATCCCCTGCAGTTCCCGAATCCCTGGAATGTTGGAATCCCTGGACAGGTTCCCTCATACATAACAAATCTTCCTTCTCCAGATTTCGCCGATTTAGTGCAGCCAACGACCGCTTCATACTGGCGCTCTCTCGGTAGAAATTCTTGTTTCCAGCAACGTAGAAGGAATTCTGGGGATCTACTTGCCCCAATTTGTTATTGATGAAGTTTGACATAGTCGTACCAACCTTAAATGATCCTAGAAACAACTCCGGTGGGCAAAGAAAATATATAATAATAGTAATAATAATAAATGATAATAATGACAGTATCAACAACAATAATAAAATAATGATAATGATAGTAACAATAATGACAATAATATCAATCCTCATCCTCAACAGTCATAATAAAACAATGATCATAATCACAATAACAATTGTAATGATAACGATAATGATTTTAATAATAGTAATAATAATAATAATAGTAATAATTATGATAAAGATGATAATAGCAATAATAATGATAATAACAATAAGAATGGTGATGGTATATCATAATGATAATAACTAGAAACACTCAGAGAGCGCATACCTCCGCCGAGGCAACAGGGTCACTGATGCAATAAAAATATTCACACGAAGAATTACACAGGTGGATGATGAGGCACGCAGCCCGCCACCCCCTTTTATATAGGGCAGCGTCGGTGGGGGTGGCAGAGGTGGCATCCACCCGGAGTGACTGCCAGAGGCTGAACCTCAGGTGGGAAGTCAGGGTGGGGGCTTGGAACGTCCGTTCTTTGCGTCAAGATGATCGGTTGCCTTTACTGTCGAGGGAACTGGGGAGGCTGAGAGTTGAGGTGGCTGCTCTCTCGGAGGTGAGGAGGCCTGGCAGCGGCATGACCTGTGTAGGTGGCTACACCTATTACTGGTCGGGCCGCAGCGACGGCCACCACCTCCAGGGAGTAGCCATTATACTCCAGCCCTCGGTAGTAGAGGTTACTCCTGTTGATGAGCGTATAATGGTATTGAGATTGAAGCTATCTTTTGGCGCCATGTCTCTTATTGCTGTGTACGCTCCTACTGATGTTTGTAAACTTGACGTGAAAGAGATGTTCTACGCCAAACTTACATCTGTGGTAGACAGTTGTCCACGGCGATATATGCGTATTGTGCTGGGTGACTTCAATGCGGTATCTGGCTGTGATCGAGCTGGCAATGAGTCTCCCCATGGTGCAGGAGCTGATGCCGGTAGTGAGAATAGCCTCCTTTTCCGGTCCCAGAAATTAAGGATTTCTGGCTCCTGGTACCAGCGCCCATACCCACATCGATGGACATGGTACAGTGATGCGGGTAATACAGCCAAGGAGATCGATCACATACTTGTTAGCACTCGTTGGAGGATCCTCCAGAATTGCAGGGTGTACAGGAGTGCTGAGTTCTGTGGTACTGACCATAGATTGGTTGTGGCTACCCTCCGGGTCCACTTCAAAACTCCCCAGCGGTCAAATGATCACCCTAGGGTGTTTCATTTGGACAGGCTGAGGGAGGGGGAGTGTGCCCGCGGGTTTGCTGAGGCAATCTCTGATCGTTTTGCAATGCTCGACAGTCTGACAGACCCTGTTCTTCTGTGGGATACCTTCAAGTGTGAAATGCTTGATGCAGCTCAAGATACGATTGGTGTACGCCCGAGAGCAGTACAGAATTCCATCTCGCAGGAGACACTGGAAGCCACAGATGCATGTCGTGCGGTTCGTCTGACAGGGGATCGGGAATTGCACCGTTCTCATGTGCGCAGAACTCGGTCTCTGTTAAGAAGGGACAAGGAACAGTTTATTAGGAGTCTTGCAGAGGAGGTAGAGTGCCATTCTTAGTGAATGACCTTCGTCCTGCATACCAAGCCCTGAGAAAGCTGAACTCCAAGCCCTCTTCACAGGTGACAGCAGTTCGCTCAGTAAGTGTTCAGATCGTTTCAGATCCTGTTGCTGTGCGGGAACGTTGGGCTGAGTATTTTGAGCAGTTGTACCAGGTTGACCCACCAACAGTTGACTTGGATGCAGGTAGTGTTGAGATCCCCATGCCGGATCCACCCATCAGTGAGAACCCTCCCTCCCTAACTGAAGTTAGGGGTTGATTTCCAAGCTGAAGAGTGGTAAAGCAGCAGGTATCTGCGGCATACCAGTTGAACTGTTAAAGGCTGGTGGTGAACCTATGGCACGGGGGTTACATGCTGTCCTGGCTGCCATCTGGTGGTCCGGTACCGTTCCTCCTGACCTGTTAAGGGGTGTGGTCATCCCTCTCTGGAAGCGGAAGGGGGACCGTTGGGACTGCAGCAATCACCGAGGCATCACACTGCTCAGTATACCAGGCAAGGTTCTCGCCCACATCCTTCTGAGACGTATGAGAGACCATCTACTGAGGCACCAGAGACTGGAGCAATCCGGATTCACTCCTGGTAAGTCTACAATAGACCGTATCCTCGCGCTTCGAGTCATTGTAGAGCGCCGCCGTGAGTTCGGGCGTGGGCTGCTTGCAGCCTACATCGACCTCAAGAAGGCGTTCGATACGGTGCATTGGGAGTCACTTTGGGCGATCCTGAGACTGAGAGGAATTCCAACAAGGATTATTGGACTAATAGCAAGCCTGTATACTGGTACTGAAAGTGCTGTAAAGTGTGGTGGGGGCCTGTCGAGCTTCTTTCCTGTTAGCTCAGGAGTGAGGCAAGGCTGTGTCCTTGCGCCAACTCTTTTCAACACTTGCATGGACTGGATATTGGGCAGAGCTACTGTTCAAAGTCATTGTGGAGCAACACTGGGCAATATCAAGGTTACCTTGACTTTGCTGATGGTGTTGCCATTCTATCTGTCTTTGGAAACCCTAGTGGCGGTTCTGGATGCATTTAGCAATGAAGCTTTTGGGTCTCCCAAGACCAAGGTCCAGGAATTTGGGGACTTGTTAGGAGAACCTGTTCAGTCGTCTTGAAGCCTTTTGTAATAGGTCTTTGCGCCGGATCATGGGGTACTGTTGGCGGGACCATGTGTCAAACCAACGGTTGCACCGTGAGATTGGCACAGGACCTGTTATCTGCACAATCCGTGATCGCCAACTCAGGCTATACAGCCACCTGGCTCGCTTTCCTCAGGATGATCCTGCCCATCAGGTCGTCTCTGTTCGAGACAACCCTGGGTGGAGGAGGCCTATGGGACGACCTAGGAAGTCGTAGCTTGGGCAGATCGACCAAACCTGCCGTGAAGAACTAGAGATGGGCCGAGTCCCTGCCTGGCGTCTAGCCATGAGGGATCCTCGTAGGTGGAAGCGAAGGGTGGATGCGGTTATGCGCCCCCGTCGGCGTCAGCCCCCTTGATGTTGATGATTGAAGAATTACATCAAAATCACCTCTCTCGAGCACGCTGGCGACACCCGTGTATCCCTATCCCGCGTTGTTAAGTAATCCTTTTGAAAAATCATTGATCCTCATCTTTATCGGGATCACCACCACACTTTAATAGCATGTAGGGCTTAGACATACTTCTGATAAAAAAAACTCAAATTTCTGTTCATAATTTTATGAGTTAATCTGAACAGAATCCGGATCATGAAAAAAAAAAAAAAACAACAGAAAGATAGGGGGAGAGTAAGATAAAGAGATATATAAATATATTTGAGTTATCCTGCTAACCGTCCAGGATCCGGATCATGATCCAGATCACCAAAATTCAATGGCATCTAAGTTGGGCTGAGACACCTCTGGTAAAAATGTCGTTACTTTTTTTTGTTCATAACTATTTGAGTTCTGCTAAAAAACAAAACCTTCTTGACGGAGATAATCTCAGTAACAGTACTAACAACAACAACAACAATAATGATAATTATGATAATGATAATGATACAGCTGCTACTACTACCACTAAAAATATAATTATCACAAAAATAATAACAATAATGATAATAACTATGGGGATAGTGATAGTGGTGGTGACGATGATGATAACAATTAATGATGAAGATGGTGGTGATGATGAGGTGGTGGTGGCGATGGCGATATAATGATGATGGTAATGATGTGACGATGATGATGAAGATCGTGATGGTGATGATGAGGTGGTGGTGACGACGATGATAGCGATTGATGATTGTGAATAGAGTGATGATGAGATGGTGGTGATGGCGTTATGATGATGGTGATGGTGGAGGTAGTGGTGATGACAGCCGCAAAATAAACAAGTCTACAGCTATACAAGCTCCAAAAGACTTCTCAGTGGGTCTCTGCGTCAATCTCTGAACATTTCCTCTCCATCCTCTCCTCCAGCATTCCCGGTTGAGTCGTAGTGTTGGCCACCACTGCTCTCGACCGCTGTCAATCAATCTGGGTGCTCGGTCCAGTTCGAGGTCGACGGAAAGTTGGCGGAGCGTGAACAGGAATCGTGGGCTGAGCGGAATCATAGAAATCCACCTCTTTGGGGAATTGAAATTTTCTTCTCTTGCTTCATCCTCCACCAACCTATTATTCATTGTTTCAAAAGATTGCTGATATTTCACGATAATGCAACAGAATTTTCTGTTTAGACGGCGGTCGTAAGTGACCAAAAGGCATTTTTGTAGAGACCTAAAAGGGGACATAATTTTCTTTCTTTACAGATCCAGGCAAAGCTTGTGGTGGGGAAAGGAAGCAAGCTTGGATAACGGAAATTTCGGCGATATTATTAGAATTATGAAGTATAGCACTTAAGGAGAGCAGGGAGATCTAATGTGTATGAGGAATCTTTGGATTCCAACATTCCAAGGATTCGGGAACTGCAGGGGATGTAGTAAAAACCAGGTATCTTTATGGTTTTATTGCCAGTACATCACACATTTATGCTGAAGACTAAATCTTAGACATACAAGTAAAATAGTCGATAAAGGTACGCATGTGTACATAAATAAAGTATAGTGTTGAAACAAACAGATAATCATGTATGGATTCATCATTAATATCCATGTGTCCATTTTCCTTGTTTACACACAAAAGGAAAAAAATAATAAATAAACATTGCCATTGCACTATCAACATACAATCCCATTCCATTGCCACTCCTTTCCCATAAATCCTCGCATTCAAAATAAATCAAATGTTTGATTCCTTTTCCATGAACTCTCTTTCGTCATGAATTAAATGGTTGACTTCCGCCTTAGCCTGTTCCTTCCTTTTTTCCTTCAAAGGATGTCCCTCATAAATAACATCCTTAAATCAAAATAACGCACAGCAATTCATTAAAGAAAACACCTTTCGACAATCCAACCCTTCCTAGAGAGTCACTAACCCCTTCCTCATTGCCCTCCCCCCCCACCTTTCTCTTCCTTCCATCTACCATCATCCTATAATCATTGTTCCGTCAAGGATTGCGAGGATGTACATAGAGACGTGGATGAGGTCGAGGTGCAAGTGGAAGGCCACGAGCAACTCATCCGGGGGAAGGGCGGATCTATGTTTCCATCCTTTGATGCGCTGCATATCGATCAGCAGGCAGAAGACGAAGAGGACGGCCCACAGGGTAATGTACTTCATGTTGATCATCGCGTTTGACCAAATGACTATCGGGATGAAGATCAGCTGGGGGACGGCCATTCTGAAGACGACGAAGATCGCCAGCATTGTGAAGTCGTATTTGACCTGTTGGGAGAGACAGATAAACAGATAGAATAAGGGAGAGAAAGAGAAGGGAAAGAGAGAAAGAGAGTTATTAATGAAAACTGTTTCTGAAAAAAGGAAGCATTATTCATGTAAAATGTGAATAAGTAAAGTACTAATATTAATTAATTTGTGGTAATATACTACATTGCCTTTACTGTCACTAGTAAAATTGCACAAGTAAAACATGAAAAACAATATTAGTATTATACAATGAAGTCAAAGGAGTCACCACCATAGCGAGAATAAACTCAATGTAAGGGGTTAGGTGTTGTGAGGTTCGCCCACTGTTAGCGATGAAGGCCTTAGTGTTGGGGAATGAAAGGGGTCTTGGCTTAGCGACTTATTGAGGTATATGTGAAACCCCATCAGAGACCCGACACTTTGGGTGCCAAGTGTCTAAAGTGAAAACAAAGTGAACACCTGCGTCCGCTGAAGGAGGAAGGCAACTGCCGGGGTCATAGATGTGAAGTGGGAACCCTCCGCCTTTTTACGTTTTCTTAACAAAAAACAATACAATTTTATGAAAACACCACAATGGCAGCTCAAAAATATGCGCTGACCCAATATATGTACTTTATGCTTCTTGTGCTCATCTGTATGTACTTAAAAAAACGTCCTGTCTTTATTTCCATGCAAAGGAGCATATTTAATAAGGTATTACCGGTCTTAGGATCCGTATGAGGCAAGCAGACAGAGAGGGAAGGGTTGATATGTCAAAGAGAGAGATAAAGAGGGGAAGGGGCAGAGAGGGGATAGAGAGGAGAGAATGTAAAAGAGAAAAAGAGAGACATGACAGAGAGAAAAAAAAATACAGAGAGGGGGATGAGACGGAGGGAAAGCTATTTAGTTCCCTTCTCCCACTTCTTCCTAACCTCCCCTACCTTTCTTCTTTTCCCCATTATTCCTATCCTCTTCGCTCTCTTCTATCTAGCTCTCCACCTTTCCCTTCCCTCTATTTCCCTCCACCACCAGCTTCTCACCTAAAAAGAGAAAAGAGTCATACTTGGAATGTATCCCTCTTTCTTTCCGCCCACAAACATCCCTCCCTCCTTCCCTCTCCATCACTCCCTTCTTCCGTCCCTCCATTTCCCTCCACCACCACCTTACCCAGGAAGCCAAGACAGAGAGGCCCATCAACACCACCATGGTGAGCGCAATGGTCACGTCAAGGGCCTCCTTGCAATAGCTCATGTCCCCGAGCATGTAGGCCTCGCAGATGGCGACCACGAGCAGCACTATGTACTTATCCGGCGACTTCTTCCTCAGGTTGCCACTGTGGACGAGGGCGAGCATCATGGCGCACATCACGCCTAAGGAGAACCCGAATGTCCTTAAGTTGTTTTCGGCGTAGACGCTGAACGAGGGCACCCGCACGAACATGGCGGCCAGTCCAAAGGTGACAATGAGCTGCATGGTCAAGGTGGTGAGCACTCTCCTGTGGGCGGGAGAAAGGGTAGCTTAGTGTGTTCCCTTGAATTTCTTTGAGAAAATATCCAAATTAGCTTTCGCTCACACACTCAAGCTATACGCCTTGGACAGAGTAAGAGAGGGAGAGCAAAAGAGAGAAGGAAACAGGGATATAACAGAAGAGAAAAGGATATTGAATCAGTGGGAAAAAAACATTCACAATCAGAATAACCTCACCTAATGAAGCCCAACCACATAAGTTCATTTCTGAGGCCATCATGGATCCTGTCTGCACCTATGGCGTACATGCTTAATTCGATTTCGGTCTTTTTACCAGGGGATAGCTGAAAAAAAACATGGGAAATTAGCAAAGCGTGTTGCTGAAATAAAGTGAATAAAGAATTTATTTGGTATTAACATTAACAATACTGAGACAACACTATGAGCAGCGACAATTATGACAACAGTAAAGGCAATAACACCGCGCTTAACTCATTCCAGTGGAATGACGCCACTCTTGTCTCTCTACGTTAGCCAGAATATGGAGGTTAAACTACGCTTCTGTTTTTATAATAACTGTTCCCTGATTTTTTTCCCTTTCAAATCATCGTTTGAGTAATATTTAGTTTAGGTTGGCATATAATTTGCCAACGATGGCTTGGCGCCAACCCTGGGCCGCTTGCTTGCAAAGCCAGCGCTCCATCTTTGAGCTTTTTGCCACCTCATTTAGTCTAGATAAGCCTATAATTTCCAAACGATGAGTCAACGGTTTTCATTTCCTGATATCTTTTCCCTTCCTCAAAAATCTTTCTTACCCAACTCTGGTACACAATTCACTTAAATACATAAATCTTCAAGACTCTTTGCGTTCAGTGCATGGATATATGCAAAATAAAACGCATCGGAATAGAAGATGGTAATAAAAAGATTAATCAAATCTGAGGAAAAAAAGATGAAGACATGCTTGTTTCTTACTTTTTCTAACTGAATATATATATGCATATACATGTAATTTCCCTAAAACACTCCAATTAAACCCAAATTTCAACCCACATCCATCATACCTTATTCCTCTGAAAATGCTAAATAATGGAACGGAAAAAAATTAAACTCTCACCGACTACACCGCAGTACACAATGACGAAACGGTTTTCGTTATCATATTTACCCCAAAATTCATAGAGGTTAGTTAGCTTATATAAAGTTATTTGCACTGCATAACCGTTTCATTATTAATAAATGAGCCTTAGATATTCCTGGTCGTAGATTACTTATAAAAAGGAATAAGTATTGGCGCATTTTACATTTAGTAATCACGTATCTACGTGCTTAAATTATTTCATTTTCCATTTGCACTTGGCTGATATCAATGATAAGTTTTGCCACGTCATTCTTTTATTAATATTATTGTCATGCTGCACCGTCCTCTTTTGATTGTTGGATTACATAAAAATAACTATGGATATTATCTGCAATATCAACTCATCTATGATTAATAACTTGAAACTTTGAACCACGAATTTGTAAAATTTTTTGGCTATAAAATGAATGAGCTTTCAAAAACTTTCAAAACGAATTTTTCTTTTTTTTTTCTTTTATAATCAGTCTAAATTAACAAGAGATATTAATTGAAAATGTTAGCATCAAAACAAAGATCTTTCCAAATATTTCATAACTTTCCTTTTATTTCAACATATTAAAAAGCGAGATTTGAAACCTCGGAAGTGCAACAATAATATAAAGTCTATAGTTCAAACACGTCGAAGATGGACACCCTATTGCAGATAATATTCATAGTAATTATTAATTATCATGCAATCAAACAAGACCAAAAAAGGACAGCATGCCTTAAGTGTCAATAATAATAAAAGAATGACGTGGCAANGCAATACTTTAGTTTACGTCGTCGCTTCTTTGCCGTTTTCTATGACTGCCTGACGTCAGATCTTCACTCTTTCAATTGAAACGACGACCTTTCGATTCAGTGTCCTCCTCTTTTTTTTTTTTCTTTTTTTTTCCTGTGACTATTTTTTCTTTATTCTTTTTGGTGTGTATGGTTATACATACATACATGTATATACATACGAAGGTACGCACACAGACACGCACATACACATGGGAAAGAGGGATAAGAAGAAGGAGAGGGTGGGAGAGGAAAGAGGGAGAGGAGAGGGAGAGGGAGAGGGAAGGAGGGGGAGGGGGAGGGGGAGGGGGAGAGAAAGAGAAGAGAAAGAGAAAGAGAGAGAGAGAGAGACAGACAGACAGACAGACAGACAGACAGACAGACAGACAGACAGACAGAGATACAGCGAGAGAAACAAAAACAGACACAAATTCAGACAGACACCCAAACCAGACAGACAGCCAAGAAGGCGGAAGAGGAAAGGCCAAAAAGTCTCAACGCAATAAAGGTCTCAATTGCACGCACATCTTAACCAGTTCCCACGGTGACAAGCTGATCTTTTTTGTCTCCTCTTAAGTTGGCTTCGTGTTGCTTCTCGACTTGCAAGCCCTGATCGCGGCACCACACGCACGCCAGCACTTCAATGGGAACCTCTAAAGCGCTATGCATACGAGTGCGCGGTCGCTTAAATTTTTTTATTTATTTACTGTTTATTTACTTTTTTTATTTACTTTCTATTTACTTTATTTATTTATTTAATTTTTATTTATTTACTTTTATTTATTTATTCATTTGTGTGTTTACTGTATAGCATGTGTGACATGTGTATTATAGATGTGATGTCTTTGGGTCGTATTAATTAATGGCATTTGGTGATTGTTAATGACAGTAATAGTTGTGAATTGTAAATGTTAAGAGTAATGCTGATGATTGTAATTTCTTATGAATGATGATTAATATGATGATACCAATATTTGTGATGATAATTATATAGTAAAGTATAATTAGTAATGATGCTGATAGTGATTATAATGATAAAATTGTAATGATGATATTAATGATAGTTATAATAATTGTGATGATGCCGATGGCGATGATGAAAATGATAAAAATGATGATGATAATTATAATGGTAATGATATCAATAATGCTGATAATGATAATAATGATTATAATTATTATAACAACGGTAATGGTAATATCAATAATAATAGTAAAACTAATAATGATGATAATCATGATAGTAATAATAATAAAGGTGATAACAATAATCATAATGACAATAATAATGATGATAATGATAATTCTGATGGTCATAGAATTGATAGCAACAATAATGATATTGTTATTCATGGTAATGATGAAGATAATGTTAAAAATCATAATTATAATGATAAAATTATCAATGATGATATTACTTTTAATAACGATACTAATTCATACCTTCATCATCATCATTACATAGATATACAATATGCAAATGACGTAAGAGAAGGAACATTGATTTTATAAAGCTCTGGTTATTCTCCTGTCCAATGTTTATACCATTGACGTTTCCTTGCTTATTGTATCAAATCTTCACTCATGTTATCTCTCTGTCTCCCTCTCTTTCTCTCTCTTTCTTTCTTTCTCTCTCTCTCACTTCTCTCCTCTCTTCTCTCTCTCTCCTTGTCATCTCTCTCTCCTCTCTCTCTCTCTCCTTCTCTCTCATTCTACTCTTCATCTCTCTCTCTCGTCTCGTCTCTCTCTCGTCTCTCTCCCTACTCTCTCTCTTTTTTCCTCGATCCTCCCTCCACTTCTCTTTTCCCTTTTTTTTCTCCTCTCAATCTCTTTCTCTCTCCATTCCCACGTGTTTCCTTTTGACCAATCGCACACCATCTCCTTTGCTCTTTCTTTTATTTATTTCTCTTTTTATGTTCTTTATCCTCTCTTTATTTCTTTCCTTACTTTGCTTCTTTCTTTCTTCTTCATCACTGTCCATCGTCTCTTGAACAGCCTTACTCTCTTCCTCTCGACTTTGATCATCTTCGTCTCTCTTTCTCTTCGATTCGTCTCTCTCTCTCTCTTCCTCTCTCCACTCCTCTGTTATTCTTATTTCCTTTTTTTTTTTTTTGTTTTTCTTTTTTTTCTTATTCTTCTTTCCTTCTTTTCTTTTTGCACTCTTGATTTCTTTTCCTTTTCTTCTTCTCTCTCTCGATCTCATCTCGAATCTCCTCGATCATCACCTCTTCTCTCTCTGATCTCATCCTCATCAGGTCATTCTTCTCTTTCGTCTTCTCGAATCATATCTCGGTCTCTCATCGCTCATTCGCATGCGTCCATCACTCGTTCCTCTTCTCCCCCTCCACCTCTTTCATTCCTCACAAACTTTATGCCACTATCGATCCCCGTCCGATGCCTGTACCTCCGCTCCTGTCGTCCGAATCTATCCACTCTGCTCCACCGCTCTCTCACACCAGCGTTCAGCTACCCCAGAGCACTACTCCCGCTGTGTCTGGAGAAATGCTCTCTTGATCAGGTACCATCAAGACGTCGCTGACCCAACTACGCGTAGGCGTCAAATCCGTACGGTGAAGAGCTCCATTTCAGTCCATCCGAGTCATGTCTCGTGGCTCATCGCATCTCCGAGTACATCCTCTCCCTCATCTCATCTCTCGGCCTACCTTTTCCCTCTCGTCGGCCCTCTCTCCCTCACGCCATCTCCTCTCCTCCCTCCCTCCCTGCTCCCTCTCTCCTCATGCATTCTATGAAAACATTCTATGATAATATGTTGGTGAATCTAGCCCTTGATGATATGATAACAGAACTTCGTATTCCTCAGCGCAAATATTATACATCTCCGTATATTCAAGGAATTCACAAAGCCACAGACTTGCAAAATTATGCGTGGGAAAAAAATTGAACAGAAGCCTCATACAACGGTAAAGAGTATAGATCTGTGAGAGGCAAATGATAATGAAGATATTAATAACACTGATAATGATAGTAGCAGTTACGAAGGGTTATTGTAACAGCAATTGCGAAGGATGATGATAATGACAGCAATTAGAAAGCATGGTGATGATAGAAGCAATTACGAATGATGATAATGATAATAGCAATTGCTAAGAATGGTAAAGATAAAGAGCAATAAACAAGAATGATAAAGATTAGAGCAATTAGAAAGGATGGTAAAGATAAAATCAATTAGGAAGGGTGATAATCATAATGTCTACAACAATTATGAAGGATGGTAATGACAGTAGTTGCGAAGTATGGTAATAATGGTAGCAATTGATAAGGATAAAGATCAATGAAAAATATCACAACAGAAATCATGTACTTTTATCACTACGAAAGCAGATTCGTCAAAGGAAGGAGATGCATTTTTTTCTTCTTCTCTTCATTCCTAATATTGCTTCTCAAAAGAAAGAAGAAAGGGAGTTCTGAGGCAGGGCGAGGAAGAAAGGAGGAAAGATTCACTTGAAGAAGTATTTCTGGTTTCTGAGGGCTTTTTAGCGTTTTACGTGTGTGTTTGTGTGTGTGTCTGCTCTTTGTGTGTGTGTGTTTGTTTTTGTTTATATGTTGTGTGTGTGTGTGTGTGTGTGTGTGTGTGTGTGTGTGTGTGTGTGTGTGTGTATGTATGTATGCATGTATATGAGTCTTTTAATGCTTCCAATATTACCTCATTACCACAACATACAAACATTAGAAATTATATAAATACCAAAAATAAATTGATAAAAGATAACATCCTCGAAAGACTCATTATAAAAAATAATGAAAAAGAAAAAAAAAAAACACGACGTGGCAACTGAGCCGAAAGACCACTTACCATGCGCCGAACAACTAATTTTCTGCCATTTATGTTAACGACCGACTTCATGACTGTTAGATGAACTGTTTCTCTGATAACTGTTGACCGCCAAGTGGTTATTGATGCTGTGATTCGCCAAGTGATTCCGGCTTCGATTGGAGCGATCACTTATCTGTTTAATTGATTTAGAATCCGTAGAGATGTGTATTTTGAGGTCTTGTTTATTTTGTGTTTTTGTGATCTTGCTTTTCGAGTGTGTGTTGGTGGGATAGTCGTGGTCGTCTCTTTTGTGTGTTTTTGGATGTTTTATTGTTTCTTATTTTGACGTTTGTGAAAGTTAACAGAAATTTCCCTCTCGTTTATTATTGCTATTATTTATTATGGTTATTATTATTATTATTATTATGTTATTATCAATCATCATCATTATCATCATCATCATTATGTTATTATTGTTATTATCATTATTATTGTTATTATCATTATTATTATCTCATCATCATCATTATTATTATTATTATTATTATTATTTTATTATTATTATCATTATATTATTATTATTATTATTATTATTATTGTTATTGTTATTACTCTCATTACTATTATTATTATTATTATTATTATTATTATTATTATCATTATTTTATCATTATCATTATTATTATTTATTATTATTATTATTATTATATTGTTATTATTATTACTATTATTATTATATTATTGTTATTATATTATTATTATTGTTATTACTATCATTACTATTACTATTATTATTATTATTACTATTATTATTATTATTATTATTATTATCATTATCATCATCATTACCTTTTATTATTATCATTATTTTTATTATTATCATCATCATCGTTATCATCATCATTCATTCGCCATCATCATCATCATCACCATCATTATCATCATCGTCATCATCATCATCACTATTATCACTATTAGGTTATTTGGATTAATCATCAGATCTGAGATGGAAAATGAAGAGAAAGTAAGAAAGTTTTAAAAAATGTTAAGAAACATATGTTATCAACACGATAACGCAATTAAACGTAAAACTGCAAGAGGAAAAAACAAAACAAAGTGATAAGAAAAGATGATAAATGTTGTAATTACAGAATTAGAGAAAATAGTAATTAGGTAAAACGAAGATCTGAAATGGATTAATTATAGTTATAAGTTAATGGATTAAATAACATCCGCTGTTTTAGTGAAGTTATCGTTAATGTATTTGTAATTTCATTTGTTTAGAATAAATTGAAAGATAAGATCCCGATTTTTATCATAAAACGTCTTATAATATCCTATAATGATTATAATTATCAACGTAATTCTTAATCTTCACTTCAGAAACACTTACCTTCCTAAACGTTAAATAAATCTTAATTTTTTTTTCCGGAATACCCGCCCCCCCCCCCCCCACCTTCCCATGTACTCCCTCCTCCTCTCCTCCCCTCCCACCCTCCTCCCCCTCCCCCCCCTCCCATGTACTCCCTCCTCCCCCTCCCATGTACTCCCTCCTCCCCCTCCCATGTACTCCTTCCTCCCCTCCCATGTACTCCCTCCTCCCCTCCCCTCCCCCACCGTTTTCCTCTCTCGCTAACAGGACGCTGTTATCTCGTTTTGTTCTCTCGGTGATTGTGCAATAAGGGTGTTTTTCCTTCGCCACTTTCGCTTATCGCTTTGCTTGACTCCTGGAGGTGGTGATGCTAATAAGGGGGTTTAAATGTTCGTTTTGTTTGGCTGGTTTACTATTTATCTCTTTTTTCCTGTCTGTCTGTCGATCTGTCTGTCTACCTCTTCCCCTTCCTCTGTTTATCTCTCTTTTCTGTTTTTTCTTTTCTTTCCATCTTTTTCCTTTTCTTTTTCCTTCTCTTTCACTCGGTATCTCTCTCTCTCTCTCTCTCTCTCTCTCTCTCTCTCTCTCTCTCTCTCTCTCTCTCTCTCTCTCTCTTTCTTCTCTCTCTCTCTCTCTCTCTCTCTCTCTCTCTCTCTCTCTCTCTCTCTCTCTCTCTCTCTCTCTTCTCTCTCTCTCTCTCTCTCTCTTCTTCTCTCGCTCGCTCTCTCTCTCTTTGTGAAATGTGAGCCCACACAGGGACTTATTGAGCTTATGTGTCAGTAAACTTTTCAGAGTAAAAAAAAGGAATAAAAAGAAAGAAAAAAAAATATGTATATATGTATATATATATATATATATATATATATATATATATGTATATATATGTATGTATGCATATATTATATATATATATATATAAATACATATACATGCAGACATACATATATGTATACATATACATATATATGTGTATGTGTGTGTGTGGGTGTGTACATATATGTTATATATATATATATATATATATATATATATATTATATATATATATATATATATATATATATATATATATATATATATATATATACATATATACACATATACATATACATGCATACATATACATACATACATATATACATATACATATATATGTGTATGTGTGTGTGTGTGTACTTATATGTATATATATTTTTTTTTTCTTTTTTTATGTATTATATAAATATATGTATATATTTATATTATTATATATATAATATATAATATATATATAATATATATATTAATATATATAAATATATATATAATATATATAATATATATATATAATATATATATATATATATATATATATATATATTGCATGGAGAGAGAGAGAGAGAAAGAGAGAGAGCGAGAGAGATATTGATAAGAATAGATAGACACATGGTTAAGATTTAGATTGATATGTATATCTACCTTATCTATATCTATATACATATATATGTGTGTGGTATATTTTATATATATATATATATATTGTAAAATACTTGCTGCATGCACGATCCGAGTATGTTTCTCCCGTTTTCTTCTTCTTGTCCGTTCATTGAGGGAAAGCCAGCGCTCGTAATAGCGGCGGCGGAGCAGAGGAAACATCCCGATAAGTCCTTTATCTCCGTCTCAACCCCATCCTACGGACTCCTGTCTTTTGGCCTTAAATTGTATTTTAATTTTGGTTGAATTTTTGGATTGGTGCGCAGGAGGAGGAGGAGGATTTTTTGGTTTAGTTTCAGGGGATTTCTGTTCTCATTTGCGTTGGTCGTGACGTTGATTACGCCGTAGTTAGTGCGTTCGGATCGGGATGCGTCGGGCTGGAAAGGATGCGCTCGAGAGGATTCGGACACGTGCCCCAAGTGCCATAGCTGTGGAGAAGGTGAGGGCAGGCAGTGTCCCCGTGCGGCTCGAGAGTGACGGGTGCTGACACCTCCCGGATTGACGCTGACACTTGTCAGTCACGGCTCCGTTGGTTCATTTCGTGGCGCGATGGCTCCATCGGGGAACTTCTCGTCCGGACGCTTGCATGTGACTTCAACT